CGGCTACACCTCCGCCGTGAACGGCCCCCGGCCAGTAGCCCGTGGGAGTTGCGGTGAATGTGGCATGACGACCTCCAACTTAATATTTCCCGGTGGCGACAGTGTTCGAAGAGCTTGGAAGACGATTGCCATATCTTGAAGATACATATGATCCTCCTTCGTTCTGTCTCTGTGGTCCCGTAAACGTCCCCGGATGCTATGCCCAAGTTGAGACGGTCCAGGTGCGAGGTGGCGAGGTGGCGAGCAGCGTCTCGGGATGTAAGCGCAAGCCGCGACATCATCACCAAATGCAGATGACGCTGTGTATCAGTCCGATATGCGAAGCAGGAGGCAGGTGGTGGACGAAGACAAGAAGCGGCCCGAGGATGAGGGGGAGTGGCCGCCCTTATATATCTGGCTACCACAGTTCGCACTCCGCCGTCAATCCCCGGCGAGCGGCGTCGTGACTGTGACCTTACCTGCTTCTGGCTTATTGTCCTCATCTTCTATTGTCCAAACAACACTAGCCATCTTCCTCGACACTACGGGCAGGAGTGCTTGATCGGGGCTTGGGAGATGTGTGAGATATTGTTTGTACAGTATTTCTGTTTGGGTAGTATCACTGGTCTGCCCGGAGAATAAATAGTTTACCTGTAACGAGTCTGCACGACAGCTCTCATACTCCGTGATAGGAAACCCCGCCTGGAGCCCTCTCCGGTAGGCTGATAGTGGATTGAGATTTTATCTGACCGATGCATTTCTGGCGCCCGAGAGGAAATGTATTGCATGCAAAGCATGCATCGGGATAGTCCCCTGATAGGCATGCTGTTCCTGCCCTATCTGGGCCATGATATTACACAGTGATAGGTTACCTATCAGGCACACAGATATGTCAATATAGAAAATATATAACCCATCACTAACATTTCTGCGCCCTGGATAGGTAACCTACCACTGTGTAATATCATGGCCCAGATAGGGCAGGAACAGCATGCCTATCAGGGGACTATCCCGATGCGTGCTTTGCATGCAATACATTTCCTCTCGGGCGCCAGAAATGCATCGGTCAGATAAAATCTCAATCCACTATCAGCCTACCGGAGAGGGCTCCAGGCGGGGTTTCCTATCACGGAGTATGAGAGCTGTCGTGCAGACTCGTTACAGGTAAACTATTTATTCTCCGGGCAGACCAGTGATACTACCCAAACAGAAATACTGTACAAACAATATCTCACACATCTCCCAAGCCCCGATCAAGCACTCCTGCCCGTAGTGCGAGTTCCTCGCGAAGCTATCCCCCATCCATTCGTGCGCGACTGAGGAGAGACATCTGCACGGATGACGCCACACCTCCCTCCCGTCCATGGACAGCGTCCCGCCGTCCCTGATTACATAGCGCACTCATTGCTCGGTGATCTGTGCGCTATCATGACCAGCTGCAAAGTTAGTTCTGCCACGATCGTCCACGCCACAATCGCGTCGTACGTAGCTTCCGCGCCACAGGCGCGACGCGTCAAGCACGTGATCTGGAGGCAAGCACCTCGCACGAGACGCGTCGCCAGCTGTTAGTCCGAGGTGCTCAACCCATGGCAACAATCTTCATCACTTTCGGCCTATGAGCAAGCATGTAAGTCATTCAGACTGTCTCTATGGCTGCTGCAGTCTCTCTGAAAATTTCATAGTGAGCATTAATGACTGCAAGCAAGATACGGTGACTGCGGCCTCTCCTATTACGGCTTTCTAGCCATGCGTGAGAAGACAGCTTTTCATGTTCCAGCTAATCCTTGCGAGAATGGAAAATAGCTCGACTTTTGCAGGACGCTCTACGCTAGCAAGCACCATTCGAAATGTATGGCGCGCGCTTCCTGCCATTTCAGTACTACGCGTTCACCAACCTGCATTCAACCCTCCTTCGGTTGCGATGGACGCTGGCCTCGTTTACTCGGAAGGGCCCTGTTGGCATCGGGACGTCAGCGAGCAGGAGTTGGGCCGCCATTGAGATATCGCTGGTACCCTTCTTTGGAATCGAAACTGAGCACGAGTACACGTGCCTGCGGAGGAGACCTGTCGCACCAGCCCAACGCCTTTGAGGCTCCTCTGTCAATGCACTCGACGCTTGGCGTGCTCGAGAGCGTCAAATTTATGCACCCTGCCGTCCTACCGAATTGCCCGGACGTCCTCTGGCCCACTCCAGCGCCGCAAGCTCGACTGTTAGGCGAAGTCCACGTACGCGCCACAACCAAGGCCGATCATCCTCCTCCTGGGACAGGAGAGACGAGCGTCAGGTTGACACAAATGCCGATCGGGATGAGGACACCTCTCTGATACCCGCCCATGGTGCATCACCATTCGGGTCCGGGAGCGGGATTCGACCATATCTTCGACTTCTTTGGACTGCTACTCGCCAGCCCGCGAGCTGGGCTGTCGCAGCAGAAGGGTTCATGCAGCACGTCGGTCGCGTCCACCTGATGTGCCTCATGCATTCAGGCTTGAGGTCTGAGGGCGGAGATGGCGGGTTGCCGTATATATCTGCACTGCGGTCCAGGCGTGGAGAAGGCCGAGAAGGCAGCTGTAGCGTTGACGTGCGGACATCGCGTGCTCAAGCTTCTCAGCCTCCACGTTCTTGAAGCTCCACCATAATCGAACACGGCGACGTCTCCCTTGATTTGCTCGATGCAGAAGGTGACGCTCACGTATGAGCGTATGCACGAGAAGGACCCACAGGCTCTCCTGCGGCGCAGCCCGTGTCTAGCGTGCATGTTGTTTGCATGCGTTCTCACCGGTGCATCTTGCTCGCAGACGCCGGGACGCGGAAGCACAAACCCAGAAAAGGAAACCGTCCGAAACTACTATTTCTTATGATTACAGTTTGGCATACGGCCTAGTACACCGCCCGTGACACCTGACGATACACGCATCTAAAACTTGACCTTGCTGATCGTCTCCCAGAAGTGCTTGCCCTGGATCTGGGCGACCTCGAGCTCGAGAGCCGTAGGCTGACGCGAACCGTCGCTCGCGGCGAAGGTGCCGGCACCCCAAGGACTACCTGTACGATTCGCCTTTAGCAACATGAAGACTGGAGCGAATTCCGAGGACGGAGAAAAAGGCGAGTATCCGCCTTGTCAACCGTAGATGCGCAAAAAGACACTCACCACCGTGGATCTCATTGAGGTTAGTGAGCTGAGCAAACGTCTTCGCGTAACCCAGCGGGACGAAGTTGATGCCGTGGTGGACCAAAGTCGACAAGGCGTTCAGAACCGTAGTCTCCTGGCCACCACCGGGGGACGCAGTGGAGACGAAGATGGAGGCGTACTTCCCGTGAAGCGCGCCCTGAGCCCAAAGTTGACCCGTCGCGTCCCAGAAGGCCTTCCACTGGGCGGGGAAGTTACCATAACGCGTTGGGATACCGAAGACGAACCCATCGAAGTTGGCAAGGTCCGCAGGTGCCAAAATGGGGTACGCGGGCTTGGGAGGAGCGTGAAGTTTGTCAAGGATGTCCTGCGGGAGGGTCTCGGCGATCCTGGAGACGGCGGGAAACGTGAACAAGGGATGAGTGTGGGGGAGGTAAGACGTCAGACGCACTGGTAGATGGTAGCCGAACCACCGCCGGCGGTGATACCGGCCTTCACAGACTCAGCCACTATGAACGCATATCATCAGCATACAGTATTAGAAATTACACATGCTGCTGATACGCACGCTTGGCGATGTGGCCGTACATGGAGTAGATGATGATGGCGACTCTTGGGGAAGACATGGCGGCAGCAGGTGCAGGTGCGGTCTCGGTGGTGGGTGCGGGTGCAGGGGTAGAGTTGGAAGCGGGGGCAGTAGCGGCTGGCTTATTTGTGGGTGTCGTGTCGTCGGCGTGGGTGTTCTTGAGGCGCTTTCCGGGGAAGCACATTCAAGAGACAGTGAGGGGACTGGAGGGGACCGCGGGGCGTCATTTTATACATCGATCGAGCGCCTACGGGAGGGAGGAGGATGTCTAAGATGCGTGAGACGTTCTGCCCTCGATTGGGGAGCAGCACATTCTTCCGCGTTCTTTCCTCCAACTGCCAGAATTCGACCCGTCTGGTCGCGCCATCTGCCCTTATCCCCGCCGCGCTTCTACGCCTTCCCGTTCCTCGTTCCTCCGCGCCTCTGTCCCCGTGCCCTTGAGTGTTCGGTACATGTTCTCTGGCTGGGCATGCCCATAGGCACCGGGCGCGTCTGGCCGAGCGGCGCAGAGGTTGAGATGCGACGCGTTCGCCAGTGCTGTCGTCATAATGGGCTTTCGTGATCTCAGGCGCCCATGAACGCCCCTTTCGCGCACCTTCCATCTTGGGAACGATTCTCTCGTCCGTCTCTGTATTCGATTTCACTCGACTGCCCAGTTTTGATCGTTCTTGATGCCCACTCTTGCAGTACTATGCATTAGATGGCTTGGTCATCGTCGCATGCATAATTCGACACCACTGCTCGTTTCTAGAGCCTCCACCCCGGTATCACTCGAGCTGCTTGCCGACAGCCGCAATTCGATCAGCCAGGAATACACCTCATGCTCCATTACAATAGATCACACACTCGTCTGGGACGACCGTGCTTCGGCGCGCTGTTTGCCTCGCGTTTTCCCTATTGTGGCATGCCTCTTCCCGCGACTCTGAATACGGGATTCTTGATGCACGTAACATCATTATCAAGGCTCGTCGCGAGCTCACGAGCTCGGACCAGCTGTCCGTCTCGTTCTGATATGGCATCTGACAAATTCAACAGCATCATCTTGGTGACCGCAAACTGACTAATCCTTCGGTTTCTGGGGACAGGGGTGGTTTGCGACAGACGCCGCCCTGACCAAGGACGCTGATGGCTAACGTCAGCAAGATTTGTCCGCACGCTGCCTGCACAAACCAATTGTCTGCAGTTCTCTGATCGATCAGGACCGCTTCTCTTCGCCCGACTTAGCGTGCGCCCGTCAGTAATATCACTTGCGGGAATTTCAATGCGCAGCTCTATCTATATGCTCAGATCAACCACCGCCACCGGTCCTTGTCGATTAGTGGTCAGATCGTCACGTTGTGGGATCTCCCGCAGAACCGTGAAGACGGAGGCTCGAATCCTCCCTGGGACAGTGTTTTTCTTCGGGCTCAATCGTCGAGAGTGCTCAGGTTTAGTTGTGCATTCTCGCGACTGTTGTGAACCACCATATTTCTAAAAGCATACTGAACTGCCCCACTGACTACTGATCAATATGTTATCTTGGTCGGTCCTCATTGCGTTCCCGAGAACAGCAGCCTTAGGCCGACTGACGGCGAATATGGTGGTTCCGTATGTGATTTTTGACCAGCTCGGTCGGTCCCTGTCGATTAGTGGTCAGATCGTCACGTTGTGGAAACACAAGTCCGTGAAGACGGAGGCTCGAATCCTCCCTGGGACATTCCTTTTGCCTGTCGCCACCAACACGGCGAGTACGGCTACTAGCTTCCATAGCCCCAGTCGCGCTGATCGAGATGACGCGAGTACGTACGCGTTTCTCCATCGACCCCTAGAAAGGGGACGTAACAGCTAACCGCCTTACAGATGGAACCTGCGCCCTCAGCACGAGAGTTATCACTTTGAACTGAGGGTCAAGGGAATGGTCTGTACGCGAAGGTACGTCCGAACGACAAGTGCGTGTGGTTTGTTATGCTCACGCGAGTCTGCCTGGTTGGTCAGAACGTAATCAATCACGCTCGCTGACAAGCGAGCTATCAGTTGCAAACCGCATGAGGCTTGAAATCCCGGAGAAGTACCTCCAACTTTCTGTCCAACGTGCTGCATCAATTCAATTCCTGCTGAGTTCTTCACAGCTCGACGTATGCATCGCCTTTCTACGTGAAGCAGACGCACTGGTCCACCAAAGGACGTCTTCCTGGAACACCGTCTCTGTCAGCATCGGCGGTCGGATTCAATAAAGCTTTGAATGATTCCCATTGCCCTGTGCTTCAAGCGGACAGAACGCATGGTTCTAGACATCGATGGGCAGGCAAGGGCAAGCACGCCACGAAGAAGGCTGAAGACGTCTTTCCTCTCGCCTCGTTGCGCACCGGTGACTGACTAGGCCCTTCTGGCGCCTTGAGAATCTAGCATCTCGCAGGGTTATTCTGACCATTCCGCATGGCCCGAATGCTTGTTGAATCGTACGGTCATGCGAGCTGCGGAGCGTTACTCTAATCGGAATCCGTATATTACTTATGTCTACGGCCCTAGTGCTGCGAGATTCATAGATGTGCAAACAAACGAGTAGTCAAGCTGCATAATAAGGGCAATGAGGGACGGGCAGTTGCTGCAACTCTGCTCGCCATAATGTCTCCACCTTGATGCCGTGCAGGCACGCCAAAGAAACATATGGCCTCAACCACGAATACGTGAGTAACAAATATTGAATGGTCATATGTAGCACTCTTCGAACGCTTCGTCGGCGTCGTGTCCAAGACTGCTCGTACTCTATTGACTTTGCCTACATCTACCAATGGTACAACGACGCCAAACGCTTCAACAACTATTAGCGGATCAACTACAGAACTGGTTCACAACATAGTTCGCAATGGGTTCATAACGTAGTTCATGGCGATGATTTCGAGAGTGCGACCGCAGCTTCAAGCGCCTGCTCGACGTCCGCAACGAGGTCCTCCGCCTCCTCCACCCCGACGGACAAACGAATAAGGTTATCGCCTATGCCCAGCAGAGCGCGCTCCGCTGGTGGAATACTACCATGCGTCATCTGCGCAGGGTGTTCCGCCAGACTCTCCACGCCACCGAGCGACTCTGCGAGCGTGAAGAGCCTTGTCGCAGTCAAAAAGCGCTCCGCCTCCTCCGCACCGCCACGTATGCGGAACGAGATCATGCCTCCGTACGGGAATCCGCCCGCCTCGTCGCCGTGTTCCTGCACGAACCTGTCCACAAACACACGAGCATGCGGAGAGAGCGAGCGGTACGCCAAATCGTTGCGCGGGTGGCTCGCGAGCCCGGGATAGATGACCTCCTGGACGTGCGGGGAGCGCTGAAGAGCGCGGGCGACCGCGAGCGCGTTCGTGCCATGCGCCTTCATTCGGAGATGGAGCGTTTTTGCGCCGCGCTGGGCGAGCCAGCAGTCATACGCGCTCGGGACGGCGCCGATGGCGTTCTGGAGGAAGCGCAGCTTCTCCGCGAGCGCAGCGCGGTGCGCAGGGAGAACGAGCGCGCCCATGACGACGTCCGAGTGGCCGTTAACGTATTTAGTGAGGGAGTGCATGACGATGTCCGCGCCCTGCAAAAGCGGGGAGGAGTAGAAAGGTGAGAGGAAGGTGTTATCGACGAGGACGAGCGGGTCCGAGGGAGCCGCGCGCGCGAGGGCGACGATGCGGGGGATATCGATTAGGCGAAGCGTAGGATTAGTGGGAGACTCTATCCAAATAAGCTGCGTTTGGGAAGCGGGTCAGATAGTGCGCTCCGGGTTATCGCAACAGTGGGACAAACCTTAGTGTTTGGTCTGAATGCAGCACGGATGGTATCATCGTCGGCGTTCTCTAGATCGAGGAACGTCGTCTCCAAGCCCTGGTTTTCCGACGCAACGCGCGACATATAGCGGAACGTGCCGCCGTAGACATCGTTCACGCTGATGATGTGCGCATCAGGACCAAGTGATTGCAGCACAGTGGCGGTCGTCGCGGATCCAGAGGCGAATGCAAGCGCGTAGGCGCCGCCAGACTCCAGGGCAGCGAGCGTCGTCTCGAACGCATTACGATTTGGGTTGCCAGATCTAGAATATTCAAAGCCCTTTGAGAGACGCATCAAGATTGAAGTTCCGATCATGGTAGTCAATCAAGACGCACCTTGTGCTTTCCAATGCCGTTCTGCTTGTAAGTTGTGCTGAGGGATATCGGTGGCATCACTGCGCCAGTCTCTGCGTTGGCCTCCGAGCCCGCGTGAATCGCGCGCGTCCCGAAACCATCTAGGGATCCCTTCTTTAATGGGTGGACGCCGTTCGCGCCGTTGACGCCGTTGGCATGGCTGGCCGAAGTAGATGCCTCTCCGTTGAGTATAGCGGGCGTCATGGATACCGTGCTAGCGTCTAAGGGGTGGTATACAGTGACGGAGGAGGTAGAGATGGTGGTGGGATGCCTCGAAGAAGGTCTTTTATACAGAGCAATGAACGCGGGCGAGGCAGAGCGCAGGAAACGGTTGCGGCAGCATGACGAGATCGGTGACAAAGTGACGAGAAAACCGCGCACGGCTGACAAATCATCGCGCGCGGCTCTCTTCCGACCGTCCTCTCCAGCCTCCAGCCACCTGCGTCCGATTCGTCTTCGCCCTGTTCAGCGTCGTCGCGCGTCTGGATCTTGTCAGATGCTCCGTGCGATGCTTTACATTCTCCACGCGCGTATTGGCTCGCTCTCATGACTGCAGCGTGTGCTCGTGGACAGAATGCGCAGGCGAAGCATGGTCATCTGGCGGGGTTCACGGAGGCTCCTGCAACAGGGCGACCTGGCGATCTGACATGACCGAAGAGTTATTCACTTGTGGCTGCTCGGCTGGGGACTCTGGTTCTCGTGGACGACTAGTCTCGGACTCACACGCTACATGGAAGCTGTGCGGCGGCATGGTGTTACAGTCTCCGCTTTCTCGGGACTATCTTCCGGCGTACCATCCTGAACAGGTTGGCTTCAATATCGGTCTGGATCCGGATATGCACCATAGAATTTGAGCGCTCGAGCTTGCGGCCATATGTGACCTCTGCATGAAGTCTCCCTCGATTACAACGGCCTTCTCAAAACCATCAGGTAACGTTCTGTCCCCGGTTGCTCGGTATCTTCGGACATTGTACAGCTGCCATCATCATACAACAAGATGTGTTATACATGAATCCTCCAACCTCCCATTGGCCTGCTGAAGGGACGGTAGTCAAGCTTACGACGACTTCTTGCCAGCCTTCTTCGCAGCTGCCCGAGCGCGGGTGATCTGCTTCTTCCAGCCGTAGCACTGGTTGCACGCTAATCGTGTCGCATCATGAGATCAGTCGTGTTGCCCCTCAAGAGTAAGACAGCTGAGATAACGCTGGACGTACAAGACGAGCCATGCTTCTTGCACTGGTAGACGCCGTCCTTGTTCACGCTTGATGGCGGGGCCTCAATGCCCTCTCGGTCGATGGGATCAAACTGGATACGACGTGAGTCCGCAACATGAAGAACCAATCAGGGGACGACGTACCCCGAAGAAGGTGTCGTTCTCTTCCCGTCCGTCATACGAGCAGTCCGAGCACTAGGTCACTCACAATGAGCTGCCACTCCGAAGACGGATCCGTGCTACGGTTGTACTCACCACCTCCTTGAAGTGTTGACAGAAATAGGCGTCGTTGATCTCGATCGGGGCGGGGGCAGCCTCGGCCATGATGCACTTAGGTACAGTACAGAGCTAATGCAGACAAGGACAGAGAACGTCTACGATGCAAGAGGCGGGCGACGCTGGGTGCAGATCGCCGTCTATCGTGTGCCGATACAATGCGATGGATGTGAGAAAGAGAGGGACGGCACCCCTAGGGCAGCTTATATAGGGGACCCCCGGATGCACGCGCGAAGGCGGGGCATTTCCCGAGTTCTGAGATCCTGAATTGGCGGCGGTGGGCGCAGGCCAGCGCAAAGGGGCCAGATGACCGTGTCACCAGGCAGGCCATGTTCCCAAGACCCAGCCTAATCTGGTTCCTAGCAGACCGTTCTGCATCACGTGGCCGTTTCACATACATCCTGTTATACTGTGATGGCCCCAGAGTTTGTGCGCTTCTTCAGGAGATGCGAATATCTCAGGCCCATCACTGGAAACCTGCCTCCAATTCTCGCAGACTAGCGTCCGTAGGTGTCATGTGAAGGATACAGAAAAAATTGTAGCAATAGAACGTATGGAAGAGCCTGAAGGCGCAAGACCCCAGTTGTTGCGCACCCATCGAAAAGTTGTATCATGGCTATCTCCTCTTGCTCAACATCAAGTTATTGCCCTTTGCTCGTGTAGAAACACACCTAGGACACTGCGATGACATTCTGTAGAGGTCTCACAATAAAACAATGCAGTAGAAGTGGAATATGGATTGTCGAAGCCAGTTCACACCGTACCACCTGG